ATAATTTTACTTAGCAAATATTTTTCTCGAGTACTTATTAGATATCTGTCGAGTATTTAATAAAAGTAGCTTATTGTGATTGTTTGAGCATTTTGCATTATAAAAATAAGTCGAATGCTTTTGTAGATAAAAACATTCCGTCATCATCTTTTTTATATTTCACGTCTTCATTAATATCTATTAAATGTTAGCTGGATAAAACAGGAACTTCATGAGTATAGAAATGAAATAGGAACCTGTGAATAAATTATAGATAATGTAAGGTAACATCAAAAGAACTATTTTCATAGTTTGAAAGCAAATTATAACTACTAGAGATAGTTCGGTATACCTTTCCACAGATCTATGTAAAATAATGGAATCCTCATCAAAACTGCTTGGAAGTCTAGATTAGTAAAGTAGACAGTTGTCCGTCTTTTCATTTTAAGAACATTGACACTTCTTGAAAATTTATTATTAAGTCTATCAATTCTCTGCAACTCTAAAGACTAAGAATAACATTTTTTATTCAAGTACACATTTTTAGTTAAACATATTTCTACCGTTTTTAATGCAATTTTAACTAAAAAGAATGGGCATGTAATTCAATTGGTGCAGTTTTCAAACAAAAGTTGATTTTACAAATTAGTATCAATATACAGTAACAAACAATACAAGAGTTATTTAAATTATTAGTCAAATCAAGCCCATTTTTGTAAATATTACCTATATAGAATTAATGTCAAACAAAATATACATATTAAGATATATTTGTATGTGATATAGATGTGTATATTATTATGTGACATTTAATTCCTAATATATTGTAGAAAGTAATCTAAATATCATGCTTAAATCCTTTGGAGCTAGGCACACTTGCCTTGTAAGTAATCGTTTAGTGTGTAATAGGCCTTATTCAATATGTTATATAACTATGTTTAATTGAAATATGAATAAAATTATGTTTCACAAAAAAAAACGGTTATTTTGATATAAAAACTTAAGTACTGAATATACATTAATTTAGATAAAAAGAATTTTCCAAACTGGTTTACAACTGACGGAATGACGAAGTAACAAACATAAAAAAATACAACTGAATTCAGAATCTCCTTCTTTTTTAAATTGATTGAAAATTACAAAGGAAGAAAAGCGGAATCTCTTTACTTTTTAATTTTTGTGAAGAAAAAATATATCACGAACCATGTGAATAAAATTTTTGCATCGTTTCACTGCAGGTAATCGACACGTAGGTACGAGTATGTAATTATACATACGTTAGTAGAACAATGGATGTTCTTGAAAGCGGGGTTGCGATATAATTCCATCAAATAACGCCAATAAATTCAATGGAAACAACAACCTTGGCTTTTGTTGTATACGTCTTTTTTTTCTTTCCAAGTAATTTTAACCACGGGTGCGTCTTGAGACTATATTTTAAAAAAGTTGTAATATTTATTCTTTCTGCGTAGTTTACCTAATTGTATTTTTCTTTGAAAACGATAACAAAGACATGGCACTTCTTCACAAATTATGCAAACAGAATAAATATTAGAGTTTATTAGTGTGCCAATTTTTATCTCCTTTATCAAAGACACAGCAATGAATCAATTGGCCGTGTGGTCCCGGCATAGAATAGGCCGCCCCTTCCTTTCCTATGGGGATCGTAAGAATCGCGACTAAAGAAACTTAATAGTTGAGGGATGGGCATCAGCATCCTTTTTAAAACATTTCTAAAAGCCTAACTGCGGTTGCCAATTTACCCGCCAAGTGTAGCAACTACTGGCAAAACTCTCCTTATGGAGAAGGTTTATACCCAGCAGTAGACAGTTAATGGCTGAAATGATGATGATGATCGAATCAATATCGATACTATTGATTATTCTCAATAATTCGGTTGTAAATTATATGCTACCTATATATTCTTTTTTTTATATATACAACTTAGAATGGCAAACAAGCTGACGGCCCACCTGATTGAAAGTGGTAACCGTCGCCTATAGATATAAGCAGCACCATGGACATAACGGACATAACTCTTTCGGCTATGATACCCCCCATGCGTTGCCATTCCTCAGAACTCAGATGTTATTCCTTTGTACCCTGTAAATTCACGCCATATCCCACCCTTCAAACCAAAACACAGTCATGCAAACAACTGCTTCACGGTAGAAAAACGAATGGGACAGAGGTACCCAAGCAATCGACTTTTGTACAAAGTCTCCCTCTGGTAAATATTTCTTCTAATATTATAGATTTGAAAGTCTGTAAAGATGTTTGGATGATTAAATGTTTGTACTTCGATCAAGGTTCAATAGTTGAACATATTCGAATGAAATTTGGTACAGGATAAGTTATACAAATTCACATGGATAAAATCGCGGTAAATAGCAACGAAATAACCTTCAATTTGTTCTGTATTTTGTTTTCTTGTGGCAATCTTTGTTAGTATGAATATACGAGGCGAACGCCCATCAGTCATTCGGGCGCAGTGAATGGCAGAATATCCATTAGAGATTTCCTTTTCATTGCTTTCAGCCGGGAGCATTATGACCCTGCCATATTGGATTTCATAGAGGAATTTTCAGACATTTTTTTACTCTTTAGAGCACATGAATATCTGTTCCGATTCCGGACTTTCCAGGTTTTTACATTGCTTGTCGAGGTATTTTTTAAATTGCACCAATATACAATATTGTAGTGAGAATACCTATAGAGAAATTTTGTATAAAATCCGTTCGCATGACTACCTCTTTCCCATTTGTGTTTCATCTACCTTTGTTACAATAGTTAAAATACCTAGAAGGCGATTTTGTATATAAACCGTTTACATCGCTACCACTTTCCCATTTCTGTTTTATCAATCAAGTAACTGTTTGATGTAATGGCTATGAAATTAATGAGTATTAATGCATATCATCTTAGTCTCAAGAAATAGTAACGCGTAAGATGCATAATGAGTAGGTATCGTAGTATATTTTATGATATAACGTTTATCACTTTCTATCAGCCTACTTGCATAGAAAAAGCTATTTTGTGGTCAAAGAAAACTTCTTCAACAAGTACAAGAACAGAAAAATGCTTTACATCGAAATAATTACAAATTATTCAACAGCTTCCTGGAAAAGAACGCTTTTAACAGTAGATACGGTAGAACATTGTTTCCTCTGTGTAATTTAATTCTAGTCACTTTTGTTCTACTAAATATTCTATTGTAATCTTTTGAAGAGAAAAATAAAGAAGAATAAATAAATAAATCAATGTATTTACCATTACAAATAAATAATAAAGAGTCTATAACAATTAATTAAAAGTTTACTTTTATATTTTTACCAGAGGGAGACTTTATACAAAAGTTGCTTCCATGGGCACCTTTCTCCCATTCGTCTTTCTGTTGTAAAGCAGTTGTATCTGCATGGCTGTATTTCGGTTTGATGGGTGGGATATGGCAGTAAACTTACAGGATACAGAGGATTAACATCTGAGTCCTCAGGAATGGCAACGCAGGAGGGTATATTGGGCGAAAGAGTATACTCTGTTATGTTCATGGTACTACTCTGTCTATAGGTGACGGTTACCAATTTCCATCAGGTGGGTTATCAGCTTGTTTGACATTCTAAGTTGCATAAAAAAAACCTATCTATCTAAAGTTTTATTTGACAAACCTGTTACTATCACTTAATACATACGATGTTTACCTAACCTTATTATTATATTAATGTAGATACTAAAAACTTCGGCATAAACTGAGCCAAACTAATTAAACTTTGGTGTTGACGATAAGGCGCAGTGGTTCATTAAAGAAAAACAAACTTCTTCTTAAAGGTTTGGTATCGATACGGAAATATTATCATTCATCAATTTCGAGATTCTACTAATATTAAAAATGTAAATGTTTAAGGAAAAGTTTGAGTAAGAACTTGTGTTAAATTTAGAAAACAGGTAAGACATACTAATAGAATAACTCATATAGAATGCTTCTCTTAAAGTGCGCGTCAAAAGCCTCGAACTACAACTAGTAAAATTGTGTTTATTTAAATACCTAAATGCTTTATAATGTCGTAAAATACAATATGAACAATCAACCATTATTATTTACAAAATTGTCTAATAACGAAGTAAAAATTAATTATACCTTAACAGAATTATATTATAAAAGATCGATATTGATTTATAATTGTCGATGATATCTTATAACTATATGTATAGAGGAATTATCGCATTCCATGTGGCCAATCTAAGAAAATTAGCAATTAACATACCTAGGTAAATCAATGTATTAAAATACAATTTGATTTACATTAGATTTATTTGATTGATTCCGACCAACTAATCAAACTTAATAAATTTAACATTCTATTATTATATAAAGCATATATTGTATAAACATATACATGTTGTCCACATTTTGCTTAATATGCTCCGGATAATAATAAATAACAATTTGACAAAGATTGATGCATTTGTGTATTCAGATGATGTGCACATGGATAGCATTGCGTCAGAGACGGTTTATATCAGCAGAAATCCATATGTGCAAATTTATAAAAAAAAAATTATAGGTACTAACTACATACAAAGATGATATAAAATATATATTAGAATCTTTACACATAATAAATGTATTACTTTTAAAGAACTACATCCCGTGGTTGTTTAAAAAAAATTATACAAAAGTCTTCTTCCTATAGATAGATAGAACATTTTGATGCATACCTATTTATAAAAAAAAAATACAAATATAACCGCGTTATAATTAATAAAAAACCGGCAGGTTGTTATAAAAGAAAAAATATTTTCTCTAAAAAAGACGTAAGAAAACATTAGTAATTGTTTAAAAGTCAATATTTACGAACAATCAAACTTTTCGTTCCCTAGATAGATATAGATTAGTATACCAGGCGTGCCCACTGCCCACCCTACCCTACCTATTTTACCACTTTTGTGCTTTGAGCTTCGTAATCCAACCCGAGATAGCCCGAAGTTTCGCCGACACCATACGATTGCAACCACTAGCCGGCAGTTCGAAACGGAAGATCGTGATATAAGTACGTCTCATTTCATGCGAACAAGCGCGTCCCAAAGTTCTGCTCTTCGTCACACTCAGTGAAGTGAAACTTGGATAATACGAAAAAAAGTAATATTGTTTTGTGAATTATAATCAGATACTTTTTGGATTTCACCAACACAGTTTCACAAACTTTGTTTTCTCGCTGTATGCCGGTGCACTAATTGATGTTTGCGGAGGTAAGTGAAGTTTATTTTTGTTGACTGCAGGGATCGTTAACTGGTTCTATAACATTCTTCTAATATTTGTTGACAACATTGTTTTAAAACTACCAACAATTCTATTTCTGTCGATTCGTTTAATTTTTATCGTCACTTTAAGCACTGCTTGGTTTGAATAAATCCACTTATTAAGATTGCTTTAAATAGATATTACACTTTAATTTTAAAATCATTTCAACCATAAAAATATCATATTATAAAAAACTTCAACGTGGTCATAACCTAACGCGTTCGATTCCTTGATCCTTGTATCAGAGAAACAAAAAATCCACCATTGTGGTTATGTCTATTTGCCTCATCCGCTCGGGAACCAGTTCCCAGCCAGATGATAGTTTGTTATTATTTTTTGTCGAAACTGGTATCGAATACTGAGATCAAGCCACCGAGGAACTACCGTCTTACGCCGCTAACCTCATGGGAATTAGTAAATCAACTTTTTATAAAGGATAAAATGTATTCGGTACTTTTTACTCAATATTGTTTTCCAATAAAAATATAAGTTAATGCACACTACAATGAAACATATGTACTTTTAAATCAATAAATCTAAATAGTCAAGAGTTTAAGACATCTTTAGAAATTCATTCATTCTAGTTACTTCGTTGAATAACACTGGAATCCGGGTGCAAAGAAACCAGGATTTAAATTAAAGAATTAATGAAATTTCTTTAGTGTTTCTTAGTATTAAAAGAAAAAACTCGTATTATATTTTTTTAGTCACTATATTATTAAGGTTATTTCATGTAATTTTATAACACCATTAAGGACTATGTATATCCTGGAAGTTTTATTCAACAATGTGAGTTAAACTATGTACATAGCTATCAACAATTATCTCCTAAGTACCCGGCGTATATTTATTTGTCCTAAATCCATTAAGTACTTAGAAAATACTTAAAGAGTAAAATGTGCAGTCTTTTCATACTCTTCTGGAATAAGTGAAGCCTAAAAAACTTAAGTAATTTTCCTATCGGGTTTCAGGTGTTCTAGGTTCTAACCCCATATATTCAGGGGGGAAAGAGATTGTTCGTAATGGCATCTTATTTCCCTATTACTAACAATACACCCTATTAGGTCGACCTCAACGCGGTTCCCCCTGGAAATTATCGTGGTTAATTCTAGTGAAATTCGTCACGATAGTATAACGGATCTGATTTCACCTCACCTATCATTCCTCATTGGTGCTCCGCCAGTATATACCAGTAGCGTAGGCGGGGTTACTATTTCATTATCATTCCTTATAAAAAACCCCATATGTTCGTTGCCTGTTAAAGTATATCCTAGCTATATTTACAAACTACTTCAATCTTGTGATAACTTAAAAGCCAACTAAGGAATTTAATCATACGATTAATGAAGAAAAAGAAAAAGAAAAAGAAAACCAAAACTGAATTTCTATACCCATTTAAACAGATGAATAGCATAGTATTTACTATATATTTTATATCTAATATATATTTTATACCTTAAAGAAAAATATCTGGTAGATATGATGAAACCATTGTGGTTAACGTGGATTTACTCGCTTTTTCTAAGCATATTTTTTTTTATAAACATATTCGAATTCGCTGTAAAAAGAAAGTAGTGCTAGCGCCTTTATAACAATTACTGCAAATTTTTATGATGGCTACTTCAGTCAAGTTAGATAAAAAGACAACTACCAAACTCATATGATGTGGAAAATTTTGCTTTCAATCTCGAATCCTTTAAAACAATTATTCGTAAAAAATAATAACGTAGTTATATCTAATTTGAATAGTCAACATAATCCATGCCATGTCTCTGGCATTAATTAATTACTAGCATCGTCGTAATCGACTCTTGAATTAATTAAAATTCTCTCTCGATCAGCTTTACTTAAGATAACAAAAACGCCACCCTTCACTCTCAATATTAAACGAGATTTTCCATAACTTGAGATTAAATTTATTCTATATAATCCAAGGTATTTATTAATATTATTCAATTTACTATTATTAAAATAGCAAGTCATAAATATCCCTTTACCGGTTGCCCTTGAATTTCGATGTTCATTTTTGGCGGCGATGTCTCCAAAATTGAATGTTTAAAATTAACTTTTAATGTTCATAATTATGCGCTAATATACCAATAAAAATGCCAAAACATATTTTGTTATAGCTGAATTATTTATAGATAAATTATCTACTACGTATATGATTAATAATAAATATTCTACAATAAGGATATTAATTTAACTACTTTATTTTACAGTAACTATCTGTCTTTTCTTCTTACTATACTTAATATCACTACATCTTTCCATCCCTAAGATGTCGTAAGAGGCTACTAAGGGAATAAAGCCGCAAATAATAGTGCAAGAAAACAAAAATCGAAATAAAATACAATATTTATAACAAACTTAAAACGAAGATTTTTTTTATTATATCAACATAGGGGGCAAACGAGCACGTGGCTCACCTGATGATAAATCATTACCGTCGTCCATAAGTGTCCGCAATATCAGAGAAATTGCAGGTGTATTGCCGGCCTTTTAGGAAGGAATATTATACTCTTTTATTGAAGGCTTCAATGTCGTATCTATTCGGAAATACTGTTCAATATTGAGACTTTATTTTTTTTTTCTGTATTTATAACATACGGGACAAATGAGCATGCGATTCATCTGATGGCAAGTGATTATCACCACTCAAAAGCATCTGCAACATAAGAAGTTTCAAGTGTGTTGCTTGCCTTTAAGGAAGGAATATGTTCTTTTCTTAAAGGTTTCTTGAATAAATTGTTATTATAAATATCTATTATTGCTTGAATACTATTTGCTCCTGATTTACTTTGTCAAACAATTTATTTGTCTATTGTCCGCGTACTGTTTGAATAAATTATCGCATCCTGTCGTTTAACTTGAAACAAGGAGAAATAACAAATCACCGCGTCCTATCTACAATGCTGATAAGGCGGTACAACGTCTTAAATAACTTAGTGTTACCACGAAACATACTTGATATATGCAGGCTGATAGCATAAGGACCTTATTGATACTAGTAACTTCCTCTGGAAAGATATTTCAATACATGAATACATGGACATATGAATACAACATTTTTAATTAGTAACTAAAAAATATAATTTATATATTTAAATCTCAATATCTTCACACAACAGAAAGTACTATAAATTCTTATAATTAGTAATTCATTGCTCAATTTCGCCAAGAAGCCGACAAGGAAAAAAGGCGAAAACGTTTATCTTAGGAAACATCAGTATTTATGTTTAAATTAACAGTGAGAGAGGAAACAAAGTGGTAGAACAAGAATCCCTTTTTTTTGCTTTTTCCAATTCGAAATTCAAAGCTTTTACGATAATAGTCAATACAGTATATGTAAAAAAATCCTGTAACCTTAGTAAATACATAAGTACATAAGAAATATATATCTTAATATATCATCTAAATACACCAAGCTCACATCCTACCAATATTACAGTCGTTTCCCTGTACAAAATTTGCAGACAAGTTATAAACTGCCTTGTCAGGATGAACAATAAAACAAAGTCAACACCAAATTCATTGCATGTGCGGCTTCTTAAAATAAGTGAAAATATATTTTAAGTATGGTTTAGTAAGTGACTACCAAAAAGCAAGGAAACGTTTTGTTTAACTGTATATGTATTAGCAGATCTGCAACATGAAGAAATGGCAACCCATGTCACGAGCGATACACTATATTTTATTATATTCATGGTATTGTTCATGTTTATAAGCGACGATGACCACTTTCCATCAGGTGGGCCGTCAGCTTATTTGCCATTAAAACACATTAAAAAAAAAAACAAAAAAGCAATTATGCGTTATCCATTTATATCAATTTCAATCAAGACATTGTATGTTTAAAGGCAAATCATTAGACCATATCAGTCATCAACTACTAAACATAGGCTTCCCCCATAAGAATTTTGCCAGTAGTTGCTACGTTTGGCAGACGAGTTGGCATCCGTATTTAAGCTTTTGATAATGTTTTAAGAGGGACGTTGCTGCCTATATCTCGACTATTAAATTCCCTTAGTCGAAATCCTCTTACGACATCGATGGGAAAGGAAAGGATGGCCCATTGTATGCCAGAACCACACGGAATTAAAGGCAAATACGAGTAAATATATAATCAAATTTGAATGACACAATTCATGGAATTGATGAGGCACACAATTTACATAATCGAACAATAAAATATTTTGAAATATAGATCTTTGGAGAAATATCCAATTTCATTTATTCTGAGACTTAATAGATTTCCTTATAACAATATATAGGTTTTATAGATATCTATGAAACCTATATATTAGTTATATGAAAACAAATAATAAGAATCTCTCCAATAGAACTGACACCGTCACGATGTCATCTAAAAACATAATATGATAAAAAATATTTCGAATAATTTTAAATGAAAGCATAACAAACAGGTCACTTGATTCAGAATAGTAAAATTGACCTATAAATTTATTTTTAATATCTAGACTAAATCGATAGCTAAGTATTTAGAGTAAGAGAACGAACAGCACTGCGCACACCTGACTGCGCGGAGATAGGGATATATATACGGATATAAATAATGCGCTAATTGAGCTCTACTCTAATCAGGTTAGAGTATTTTGGCATTAGAAACTAGATCACGGAGTATAGAAACAAATTGAATAAAGATGAAATAATAAGACTTTTTTTTGTCAAACAGATAATAAATTAACAGACAGATCGACAGGGGTTTTGTCAGTTGTTGCCACACTTGGCAAACAGGTTGGCAACCGCAGCTAGGCTTTTGATTATATTTAAGGAGTGAAGTTGCTGCCCACCCCTCGACTATTAAGTTCCCTTAGTCGTCACTTACAACACCCACGGGAGGGGGGAAAAGGATTGTTAGCAATGGAGTTTGACAGCCCCATTGTTAGCAATTTGCCCTATTAGGTCGATCTCCATGTGGTTCCCC